CCTGCACCGGTCAGAATAGTTTCGACGGGAGTATCGACCGGAGGATATGACATGGTTTTGCTCGAGAGAAAATCAAATCAAAGGTGGGCGTATCTTATACCTGCCCGAATGAGAGCCGGTTAAGTCTTGAGATGGGCTTTTAAGGGGTGGGGTATTGGATCTAAGAATCCCCTTCCAACTAAAATTAAAATCCAAACCCAAGTTCTGTTTTTAACTTAGCTTAAATATTTTAATTTTATTGGTTAGAAACTAGGATTCGGCTCTAGAAAAATAATGATATGGTTTGGAAAAAAATAATGGCATATTTTTAAGTAAAAAAAATATGATATAGTTAAAAATTCTTTAAATTAATTACTCCGATAAAGATGAAATTAAATTAAAATTTACGAAAATAATTTTAAAATTTTTCTCATTGCTTTTCAAATAGAAACAATATATGTTTTAAAAATTCGTAATACAAACAAAAATAGTCTTTTCATTATTTTAGTGGATTTTAGAAATAATATAAAACTACATTACGAACATTTATCAACAATTGATTTCAAATCTGAGCCATTTTAGAGAATAATTTATTATGAAAACAGTTTACAAACATGCTTTGAACTATGTTGGAGAATAATTTATTTCCAAATCATTTTGATTTCAAATCTAAACACTAGAAATTCGTTCCACTTAAATCATTCCTTATTAGTTCAGATTTCACAATATATGAAATTTACTATGGTGAAACTCATCTCAAATACTCAATAGTTGGTCAACATGTGGTTCTAGTGGCACGGTACATTTCAATTTCTGAACTAATATGTGGGGACAAAATGGTTTTATAAAAATTATAAAATAGTCCAACTGCGGTGAGGAAACCCTCAAAGTTTCTCAAAATTATCCAGTATGTGACATGGTCTTTAAACATTGTTGTAAGCTAACTTTTGTTGGTCTATTTATGAATGATTTAATTGTGATTTTCTTTTCTATGTTTGATATTAAAACTAGCTCTCATAATTTTGTTAGATAATTGATGGTTGATTGGATGTAACCCAAAATTTTTTGAAAGGTTGATTACTATGAGATCATATTCATCTTTCATGAGATTTCATGTAACGTCCGTAAACCAAAAATGTGATTTTTGGTTGTGTGTCGATTGACACGTGTATTTAATTCGCAAAGAAATTTTTTTGCTGGAGTTGTGTCGCGCGACACAAGAGGTTTATGTCAACCCATACGGGTTGGCCCGTCATGGGTTGCGGGTTCTAAATATGTGTCCAAACCAGCCCCGTTGCGGTCTTACTTGGACCTAGCCCACGGACCGCAGCCCATGTTGACATCTCTACATAAACCCTCAAAACTAAACCCTAAAACAATAATTAACTCAAATATAAATGATATAATGAGTAAATAATTTTGAAAAAGTGGCATTTTTCAAAGATTTTGAAATAATGGCAATTTTAAAAAGTGGTATTTTTCAAATTTTCTA